CTTTAAAAATAAAAGAACAAACTATACAAATAGAAAACAGGTGAAAAAAGCAAACTTCCATTTTATGCAAAAAGAAACATAAATAATCAGCAAACATTAAAAAGATGCTTAACTTCATAATTATAGAAAGGCAAAATTGAAAAATAATATTGTCTATCTCTCACAATGGCAAATGTAAGAATTTGGAGTATATGCAAATTCTATAAGACTGTGAGGAAAGTCAGTCATATTTTATTTGTGGGAGTATAAATTTTTGGAGACAACTTGGCAATAGCATCACAGTTTAACACTCATACCCTTTATCCAACAACTTGTTGTTACATGGTATTTACTGTAGCATAGTTTATCATAGTGGAATACTAGAACAACCTAAGGGTCCATCAACCCTGCACTGATAAAATAAATTTATATTGAATCATAGAGAACACTTCACAGCTATCAAAAGGGATACGACAGCGTATAGGAATATGTGAGTGAAGAAAATTCTTTCGGGGCGCCTGGGTGGCTCAGTGGGTTAAGCATCTGCCTTCAGCCCAGGTCATGGTCCCAGGATGCTGGGATCGAGTCCTACATGAGGCTCCCTGCTAGGCAGGGAGCCTGCTTCTCCCTCTGACTGCTTGTGCTCTCTCTCTCTCTGACAAATGAATAAATAAAATCTTAAAAAGGGGGGGGGGCACCTGGGTGGCTCAGTGGGTTAAGCATCTGCCTTCGGCTCAGGTCATGATATCAGGGTCCTGGGATCGAGCTCCACATTGGGCTCTCTGCTCAGCAGGGAGCCTGCTTCCCCCTCTCTCTCTCTGCCTGCCTCTCTGCCTACTTGTGATCTCTCTCTCTGTCAAATGAATAAATAAAATCTTTAAAAAAAAAAAAAGGAAAATTCTTTAAGATCTATTAGTAAGTGGAAAAAATAAAGGCATAAAAACTATGTGTAAAATACCTTATTTGTATACAATTTTAAAATTATGACTTGATAAACCTGCTTATATTCATAACAAAAATAATTGGCAGTATATACAAAGAGCTCTTAGAATAATAACAGTTAGGGGGACCATTATATTTTTACGCCTTTTGTATTGCTTTAATTTTCATGTGTGTTCATTATGTACATATGTTAGTTTTATTTTATTTTTTTTGTTGTTGAATTTTTCTATTTCTGTTCAATAACAATACCATAGAAAATAACACCTTGAGATTTAATATATAATTTCTTTCTTCCATGAACACATTTATCCTCACAACATCCCTGTGAGGTAGGGAGAAAGCAGGTATTATTTTTGCCAATTTAAAGTGGGGAAACTGAGGCACACAGAGGTAAATCACTTGCCCAGGTCACAAAGAGAGCCAGTAGAATAAAGTTGGGGAGAAGGAATGCCAGGGTAAGTTATTTATGAACTTGAACTTGGGAACCAGAACATTTTCAAATTTGGGGAAATTTGGTGTAACTTCAAGAAAACTAGAAATAAACTACCTCAGAGTATCAAAGATTAGAATATTCATTATTCTTTAAAAAGTGATGTTAGAGGTTTACCTCCTGAATTTTCCACTCTTACATTGAGAAACAATAATAAGTATCAATAGGGAAAGGGAGATTAAAACTTCACCATTAGCATACTTAAAGATTCCTCTATAAATATTTTGAAGTGACAGCTAAAAATAATTAACACAAGACATGGAAAACTGAACTAGCATCAAGAAATCTAAATCATAGTGTGAAGTAAAAAAAAAAAAAAAAAAGCAAACAAACAAAAAATAAAACATAAAAACTTATGGAAGATCTTCACTATCTGAAAAAAAAGGGAAGAAAAAGATGGGTGGACAGTAGGGGCAGAGTATATTTGACAGACTAGTTTGTCACAGAGTGACACAGTATTTCTTTAATTAGAGGCTAGACATGTTTTGCTCTGCCAGTGCTGCTTCTGAAAAGGCCAGAGGTTGCAACAGAGAGACATAGAATGCTCTCTTCCGGGCGCCTGGGTGGCTCAGTGGGTTAAGCCACTGCCTTCGGCTCAGGTCATGATCTCAGGGTCCTGGGATCGAGTCACGCATCGGGCTCTCTGCTCAGTGGGGAGCCTGCTTCCCTTCCTCTCTCTCTGCCTGCCTCTCTGCCTACTTGTGATCTCTGTCTGTCAAATAAATAAATAAAAATCTTTAAAAAATAAATTAATTAATTAATTAAAAAAAAAAAAAAAGAATGCTCTCTTCCCTAGATGCCAAGTGAGGTTTCCAGTGTTCCCAGCCCCTGTCAGTCTGGTTGCCACATTCTGTTAAAGTTTGAATCCCCTTGAAAATTCCCATGATTGTTTGGACCAGATTCCATTGTAGACATATCTTGTCCATTTGGCATCATTCCTGGTGGTTGTTCTACCATACTTTGCTGCCCTGAAGCTTCTCTTTGGGCAATCCAAGCTTGAGCCAATGCAGCCCAGTCAATCTGGCTTGGATCCTGCTGGTGCTGGAATGACTGCATCCACTGTTGCTGGTTCAAGGGCCATTGCTGCCAAGGCTGTCCTCCTTGATCCCACATCCTGACTTTTAAAATATATTTGATTTTCTACCTCAGAGGTTCACGTCCGTTTAAAATTTAGGTTGATTCAGACTACAGCTTGGAAGCATAGCAGCAAGATTACTTATGCCTCTAATGTCCCAACGGAACACCGTTGTCGCCACCGTTCCTGTAATACCTCTCCAAACCTTTCGATGCTTCTACTTCTTCACGAACAAGACCGTTAGTTTTATTTTTTATATCAATACATTATTTGAGCAAGGAGATTCTGGCCTTTTTCTTTTTGCTTTCTCCTTTATTAGTTTCTGTTTGCTTAGTGAATAAATAATCATGTTAAAAACGTGCAAGGGAAATTAAAAGAAACAAATAATGCCTGTTCCCTTTGACTTAGAAAGTATCTTTCCAGGGAATTTACCCTTCAGAAATATCTCCATAATTGCTCATAGTAGCCAAAATCTGGACACAATCTTAGAACTTACAATGGTGAGGATCCTTTTGAAAAAAATGCTGGTGGATTACTGGACTCTTGTTAAGAAGGTAAAGTGGTATGAGCTGATTGTCCAAGATCTATTGTTAAATGAACAGTGAAACAGAAACAGGTTATAGAATTTTATATATATATGTATATATATATATATATATACACATATATATAAGATCCTACTCACTTAACTAAAAATGTGATGATATATTAAAATATGTAAAGAAAGAAGCAGAAATAGAGAAAGTTGTGTGCGTGCATATGCAGATAGTAGATTTCTAGAAAGTATACACAAAAAAACTAAGGGAAGATGATGAGGGGATTTTTTTACTTTTCCTTAGATACCTTTCTGAAACATTAGAATTCATTTACCACGATCATGTGTTATTTTTTAATAGGAAGTTAACCCTAATTATTTGACAAGACAAGAGGTTATTTGGCCCACGAAGTTTATGCGTTCAATTTCCTGTAGGCAAGAGCCTACATCTTATTACTTTTCCTGTCTCTTCCGGCTGTCTGAGTCATACTCTGACTCATCCGTGCCTAGACAGTCTCTGAAATGACTGTCATCTACTAACAAGTAAATCCAGAATTGTATAGTTCAAAGGGGTTTTAGACTCCTCACAATCGCTTCCCTCCAAGGCAGAAGTGTTGAGCCTCAGGAGGTGAAAGGACGGTTGCTCCACTGGTGAGTGGCATAGTCAGGCCACGCCCAGCTCACTGGACCTCTCCATGTTACCATGTCATTCATGCTCTCAGTAAGGAGCTCACCAGAATAGAAAGCAGGGAAGAGGCAGGGACAATTATAAAAGTCGACAAGGAAACTTTCACAAAGCTATTATGGGAGATCTAGGATATGGAACTAAAGATTACAGACAACCCAGGCCCGATGGGGAAACAGAAGCAATTCACCATCCACCACCCAGTGTCATTGTCAAAGAGATGAGAGGCAAAATAAGATTTTATATTTTATATGCAACTAGTCAGGGTTTTTTGTTTTGTTCTGTTTTGTTTTTTTCGTGGATGGTAGCCAACCTCTCTATGAATAAAAGGAAACAGAATTGTGGCATCAACTGCAAAAAACTAGCTCTATGTAGGTTAGAAAAGCTGGACTTACTGTGTGTTCAGTTGAAGCAGAGAAGCTTCTTAGGGACCTGCCTTGCTCACCTTTGTTCTCCTCCCCTGGTCCCTTTCCTGGGGCAGAAACAGAGCCCTGATGTTGGAGGCACTCAGTAATTATATTATGTTGACTTAGACTGAGTTGATTTGAGAAAGATTTTAATTTTTACTTCTCATTAAATTTGACATCAGAATGATTTTTCCCTCTTGGCGGGGTTTTGTGCTTGTTTTTTAGATGTTCTGTTTCTCTTTTGGCATCAGCCCCAAAATGGGAGTTAGCAACAGCAACATAAACTCTAGCCATCCTTTATTTCATTTTGTCAGAATTCATTCTGGAATTGTACATGAGAAATGGGGCAGTCGAGTTTATTTTGGAACAAGGCTCAGGGCTGTCTAACCAAGCTTGGGATGACAAGACCAGGCATCTGACCAAAAAGAGGGATTTGGCAGGTAGCCAGCCCCATTTCATACAGTCTACGCAGAACCTCATCTGAATATATTAATCTGTCAGCACATACTCGTCGATGTACATTACATGTGTCTCTCCTTATTATCCTGTTTTTCCTCTAATTTTGAAGGCTCATATCCATCCCAGAAATCTAGGAAAGTCACAGAGGCATATTAAATGCACACACTAAAATTCTTGTAGACATGCATAGACAAAGTTTCAACCCAGTCAGACATGCTATAAACGCCAAAAGATGAAATTTCATGTCTCTGCTAACTAAAAGTTGTCAAGAGCCTGAAACTTGCTATGTAACACTCAAATGCCTTGGTAGGACGGGAGGGGTTTTGAGGCAGGTGACATAATCTTAGCTTCTCAGTGGAGAAACATTTTTCTTCTATCAGAATAATCTGCCTTATGAAATATCAAAATTCTCTGGCTTCCTCCTCCAGGTGAATGGCATTGACCTCCGTGGAGCATCTCACGAGCAGGCTGCTGCTGCCCTGAAGGGGGCTGGACAGACGGTGACCATTATAGCACAATACCAACCTGAAGGTCAGTGAGAACCCACCTTTACCAAGTTCCACTGTGTTTCTTTGTTAGTATATACCCACCTTTCTGATCACCTGTATTAACCAGTCTCCACCAACAAGGCTTTTTTTTTTTAAACTTACTTATCCTGAAAAATAGGTGCTCCATGTCCAAAGAACATGAGGCTTTGTTACTCTTAACCTTCCAAAGAAAACGTCAGAAAAAGTCCTGTTTGAAATATGAATTCAAAACAAACAAAATCCAAAAAACCTACCATCGATTTTATTATTCATGTTTTTATCTGGTACACACTTGTGGTCAGCAATGAATATTGTAAGAAGAATTAAGGTGGACTAAAAATCAAATTGACATGAGACAGATTAACAAGCAAAAAAACAGATTTAATAGCATACGTATGGGGAAATCCACATAGACAGGCAAAATAAGGTATATATGTCATCCTGAGCTAAGATGTGGGCAGGGGTCTGGGACTTCAGAGGACAGAAGTCCATTTCACAGGGCCATAAGAAGAACAGATGTTTGGTAATTAGATATTTGCCCTGCCATACAAATGGGTCACTCGATAAAATTTACCTCTGCTAATAACCCTTGTTCTGGGAAACACCCCCAACTGAGATTCTTTTATGTATTTATGGGAGGGGCAAAAGTTTCTCTTGACCCTGGAGGGTCCAGATTGCCTTCAGGTCAAAATCCACAGGCCAAAGTGGCACACTGAGTGGGGGAGGGTGGTTGGTCTGGAATCCCTTCAGAAGCAAGGGGAGAGAGAAACAGACCATGATCAGCGGACCATATTCTCTCTTCGTGGCATGAACTCTTACTAACGCTAACATGATTTTTGGTTGTCCCTGGTGTGGGTTTGTTTTGTTTTGTTTTGTTTTTGGCTTTTTCTGCTATAGTATTGCTTGTTTGTGACATGCTACTGTAAACCCTGAAACTTGGTGAGGCGTTGTCAATTGGATTAGCCAACTGAAACTTAATGAGATATCCTGAATTGCATTAGCCATACCCTGCTCTTTGGTTTGTTTCAACATGTATCTGTGATCAGAATGATTCTCAGGGAGACCACCTAGAAGTGACCTATTGTGTGTTTGATTTTTCAGCAAATTTGTATATAGATTACTCCTTTTGTTAATGAAATATAGTTAAGCACCCACTGTGGGCTGACTTTACAAAAAAGCCGAGGGGTGTGGTTTCCTGTCTTCAAGAAATGTAGTTGGTTCACAAGGCTAGTAGACAGGACTATTAAACAGATAAACATGCAAGTACAAGATGCCATTAAGGAAGAGCCTTTTTGCGTGGGGGTATAAAGAGCTTCTTTGACCTTTTAAAGTGACTCTTTCTTAATGTCAGTTGGTCTCTTCTTTGGAAGACAGAGGTTTGTGTCTTGCCTGTGATGTCTTAGATTTTACCATAATGGTAGCCAACCACATATTTCACGTGAATATAAAGAAAACATTCTGCCATGTGTCTTTTGGAATGTTACATTTATTTTGCCTGAATTTAGAATTAGAATTTGCAATTAAGTTATTAAAAAACATGTACTAAATGCTTTCTCCTATTGGCCTCGCCCAGATATGGCCAGAGAGCTGGGGAAGAAGGGATTTGTGATTGTCACAGATGGGTGATGACAGGACCGGGAGAAAACTTTCTACCCAGACAGTTTTGAAAGTCTTTCTACTTCTTAAAGATTAGTAGAAATGTCTTCTACTAGGAATAAATTGGCTCCAGAAGGATCCATTGTAAAACAGAAAATAAAACCATTTGGGTTAGCATAATTTGAGGAGCAAATTCTACTTCATATAGAATAAGAACTTTCCTGCGGAATTTTTCCATTTTCTTTACAGCAGTCTTCGTTCACTCTCAAACCGTATGCCCTTCACCATAACCTGGCACATGGCATGAATATTCCAGGCTGTTTTCCCATTTCTCAAGAGTTTCCTCTCCGACACCAATTATACCAATTAGAAGCCATTGATAGTAAAGATAGCCATTCAAATGACCTTGAACAGAGTGATTTTGAAACTTTAAGGGTTACAGTAAAGGACAAGCATGTCAGTTCTATCAACATAAATCATCTTAAGCTTCCTTACTGCATTTGCTTCCTTTAAGCAATGTACTTAATTTGAATACTTTGCTGTACTTTGTGAGGATGCCTATTCAAAGCAAGCATGTCTTATAAAGCATAAATAGATTTTCTAAGTGCTTCTGAAGAAATTTGTAAATAAAAATGATAAGCTTGGGGTGCCTGAGTGGCTCAGTGGGTTAAAGCCTCCGTCTTCAGCACAGGTCATGATCCCAGGGTCCTGGAATCAAGCCCCATTGGGGCTCTGCTCAGCAGGGAGCTTGCTTCCTCCTCTCTCTCTGCCTCTCTGCCTACTTGTGATCTCTGTCTGTCAAATAAATAAATAAAATCTTAAAAAAAAAAAAACCAATAAGCTTATTTCAAAATGCCAAAGTACAGATAGGATTCACAGAATTCCCTATTTTAATAAGTCTAACTGTATTCTCATTTGTCACAGCTTTAAATCAGTTGGAAATGTGGTAATGTAACATCAAGCAATCCTCTTTCCCCCTTTGTAAGTTTAATGTGTAACTGAGCTTTAATTTAACTATTGTTTGAAATGGAAAACTAATTGGATTGTTGTTTAGACTATTTAGGGACATTTAAATTATACAACACTTTTAGGAAATAATGAACAATTTACCTTTAAGATAACAAGTGAAAAGAAGAATATGCCACAGAGTTCATTAGGAAATTCTTACCAGATCTCCTTCATTTGCACTAGTATTGTGAGGTGTCCATGCTAAGACAAATTTTACTGACTTCTCTTTTGGTATGGTCATGAACCAGACTTTCTTTCAGTAATTTTTTCATTTACATTCAAATGCCTTTATCAGGAATGTACTAGATTCTTTCCTCGGTATTATTAAATATTCAGGAAATTTGGCCCTTACCCCCAGCCCAAGTCATTTTCTTTTAAGAAATTTTTTTTTTTTTTAAATCTTACTGAGATTAAAGGACTTAGCTACTTTTAAGAGATCGTTTTCGGATGATGTAGGACCAAAATTGTATAATAATGACACCAACCCTGAGCAGTGTGGAATGTCAGAGAAGGGATAAACCTGCAGGAGTCAAAACAGTATAAGAGTACTTCATGGAAATGGGGAAATGGAGCCAGACTTTGAAAAATAGGTGGGATTTCTATTCTGAAAAGCGGAGAGAAAAAATATCTTGCTAAACTAAATAAGATTTTGAACTCTATGTGTGCAGGCACAAAACCTATATTTTGTTCACTTTTATATTGTTCATTTTTAGTGTTATACATATTAATGGTATTTCTTAAAGAGTTGCTGAACTAGCAAATAATACTTACCATTCTTTAGCACTTGAGTTTCCACCTGAAAATAATTGAAGATTGGAGGGATGATTCAGTTTTACAACTTGCATTTTTTCATTTTTGCTTCAAAGCAGAAAATAAGTGCTAAACAAGTATGTATTGCAAAATATAAAACAGTTTCCAACTGTGTTTTTCATAAGACTTAGCTCATTTTTTGAATAATTATAAATAATTTATAATTATCATAATATAACAATAAATGTCTTCCTTGGCAAGTTTCACTGTGCCAAGTAAGACCAAAGTTCTTATACTTCTGCTTAAAATGATCTTGCTCCCAGTTGTCTAAATTACTCTAGCCATCATTAAATTTTATTCAGTGTCTAGTTCTAGGTAGTAGAATTAAACCCGCATTTGAAGAGTCACATGCAAACCGTGTTTCTTTCTGGTGGTAGATTATAATTCATTTATACCATCTTTTTTTTAAATCTACTTTCTGTCACATGTTTACTTGGAAACTAATATGTATTATTTTGATATTAGGAAGTAAATAATGAAGTTATTTTCTTTATTTCTTTTTTTAAGAAGATCATGTATCTGATACTTAAGGAATAATTCTACTTAAGCATTATAGGAAGTTAATTCTTCTAAACTCCAATTACCTATGTTCAGTTAGTGAAGTTACCCCAACACCACTTCAGAAAAGGAACCATAATGCCTGCCCAACACATGCATACACTCTTCCCTGTCCCTTTCCAGCTGTCTTCCCCATTGCTGTCAGAATTATTGTTCTCTAGGATATGACCCCAAGGTACCTGTGCACAAACTCCATGCCCTTCACAATATGGTCCCAGCCAAACTCTATGCTCCCTCCTTACTCCCTGCACCATCATCACCCACCACCATCATCATTTTTTACTCTCCCATGCTACACAGGACTGCTTTCTGTTCCTCAACACTTGGTCCTTAGCAGTCATGTTTCTGGACCTTTGCTCATGTGGGTTCCTCTCCCTGGAATTCCCTTTCCTCCCTTTCTATCCCTACTCATTTTGAGGGCCTGCAGACGTCAATTCCACTATGAAGTCATCTTTTATCTGTAAGTTAATGTTGATTAATTCTTTCTCTGAGCTCTCTAGACCTATATTCAGATAGTTTGTGTGTCCCTTAGCATGATTTGCACATTTCCCCACTCAAGTAAGCTTCTAGAGGGCAAGAACCCACTTATCGTTCATTTTATGTCCTGAGAGAATTTGCACGATATGAATTTGACTATGCTTTATGAAAGAGTTATTGAATGGGTCTCTATGTGCTTTAGAAGTACAATAAAATATCTTCAGTGTGTTGGCAAATAATTAATAGTAAGTGTTTAAGAAATATTTGCTGGATGAGTATTGAATGGGGTTCTGATATTAGATGCAGAAAATGGTAAATTTGTCTGTCCCCAGATTGGACATCTGGTGTTGATGCAGTTTTTAGGTAGTGCCTTTTTTTTTCTTACAAAGAAATGACCCTAGTGGATAAACATCCTTTCTCCTGCACTGAGGAATATCTACAGCTATTGTTCTGTAATATAACACAAAGAAAAGATGATTAAAGCTCTAAGATTTTTTAAAGTTCTAAAACTCAACTTTAACACCATTGATGAATTTTAAAAAGTCACTGGGGCTC